AAATACAGATTAAAAATATTTTTTATTATAAATTTATATTAAAAAATATAAAAATTAATATTAATTTTAATATTAATATCAAATAAATAAATTTAATTAAATAATTAATAAAAATTAAATTTTTACCCTGTTTTTCGTTGCAACTTCCAAGATCAGGATAGCTCTGTCCCGCGCGTGTACATTAGTCACTACAACTATTTGGGATGTCTTGTCTTCGTCTTCTTTTTTTTTCTTTTCTTTTTTCTGTGTGTGTTGAAAGTCTCCCTCAGATATTTACTCTGATATGTTAATAGTTGAAATATATGAACCACATACAGCGACAAAAAGAAAAGGACCGACGATGACTCCGAAGTGCCGTCGACGGCTGAACAATTCAATTCAAATTAGGTATAGAAATTTGCTTCATCTCATTTACACCACTAATTAATTAATCCCATGTTGCTCTAAGCTTTTTCTGTTTATTCTGTTCAAAAAATGGAACCAGGAATTCAGTGGCTTTTTCTTCTGATTGTTTTTGTCCAACTTTACATCGTAGCCGCGGTCACTAATAGTAGTGATGGTAAGTTTGATTCTTATTATTATTGTTTAACAAAACTTCTGTTGATTTGGGAAATGAGAGATTTCTTCTGCAGACCTTTTTCTTTATCATCTTCATTTGGACGAAAGGAAACGAAACCACGAGTCAATTAATTCTGAATATCAGAAGCTTATTAATTAAATTAATAATGCTTATAGACATGATCTTCATTTCTAGATTGCTCGTTATTACCCTTGCAATTTATTAAAGTGGTTATTGTGGGTTGCTGGCTGCAACTAGAACTAGGCGCTGGTCTGCAAAGTTTGCTTCTGAATTCCCATATTCTTTCTGGTACATACATATAAAAAAAAAAGTTATTTGAGTCTTAATTCTTCAATGCTTGTGGCTTTTAAATTGTTTGGCAATTAAATCTCTTTCAAATTGTGATGGGTTAAAACTTATGTAAACTCCTTTTAGTTAGGACTCAATTGATTTCAAATCATTGGGAAATCAGACTCCAAAATTCATACTGCCTTATCCAGTGAAACTACATTTATTTTTGATCTGGTGCAGCTGCTGTTCTAAATGCTCTCAAGACTGAGTACAAGAACTTCCCCCCCAATTGGTTGGGCTCAGATCCTTGTGGTGATGGCTGGGTAGGAATTGGGTGCACGAATTCACGAGTCACCTCCATGTAAGTTCTTGGTTAATTTCCACCTCTTGGATGAACGCTTATTATTTCTCTTCAAGCTTCTGAGGATTGGCCTGTCTTCCATCTGTTGCAGAACATTGGCAAACATGGGCTTGGAAGGGCAAGTGTTTAGTGACATCCCATCCTTAACTGAATTACAGACTTTGTAGGTCCTCTATCTGAAGTTCACGTGGGAATCATTTCAAAACTAACTTGTTCATTCTCCTCCATTTAAGACAATAATCATTTATGTGATTGTGCTGCTCAGATTTCTAAAGATTCATTTAAATCTAAGGCTTAACTGAAACATATTGTCTTTAGGCATTATATACAAAAAGTTTAGTGGTGATTATAGTAGAGAACACGAAAGAACATGATATTCTGCTGTTTGTCAGCTAAAATATGCCTCCCAACCTTTTCCATTACTTGGTGAGGGATGTTATAATATATACGTATTGATATATCTCTGATCAAGCTTCTTTATGCAGGGATCTATCTTACAACAAGCGCCTGACAGGATCTCTTCCAGAAAAAATTGGGAATTTAACGAAGCTAACAATTTTGTAAGTCACCGAGTCGAATTAATCTTGTTTTTTTTTTTTTTTTTTTTTTTTTTTTTTTGGGTCTTCTCTTTATGGAATCATCTTGTTTACCATTCTCTTCAAACCTGCTTTTGTGCTCCTGAGACAGAAACCTTATTGGCTGTGGTTTCACTGGTGCAATTCCTGACACGATAGGAAATCTACAACAGCTGACCATGTTGTGAGGACTTTTACTCTAATATCAGCTATGATATAACGGTTAAACTTGCAATTTTAAATTGCTTGTGTGGTGATCTTCCATTGTTTAATAAAACTTGATGGACAAATTTGTACTGGTTCACTAAGTAATCACAGTTCAGCTCTGCTGTGAATTTTATTGATACTTCAATACTTTTGCAAATTTTAATCGGAGCAGTTCCATGCCAGCCAACATCTCTGAAACCCGTCATTGGCTGCAGATCTCTGAATTCCAATCGCTTCAGGGGACGAATTCCACCATCTATTGGTAATCTATTGAAACTATATTGGTTGGATCTGGCTGACAACCAGCTAGAAGGACCAATTCCTGTGTCAGATGGAACTATACCTGGCCTTGACAAGTTGGTCCGTACCAATCATTTGTATGTTACTTGTGTTCCTAATTTTAACTTGTTTTATTATTTTCTGTTTCCTTTTTAATAATATCATCTAAAGTTTTCTCCTTTATCCAGTCATTTGGGACAGAATAAACTTTCAGGTGAAATCCCGGAGCAAATTTTCAGCTCAAACATGGCGCTGGTACATGTGTGAGTTTCACTTTTGTTTTCTTTAATTATATTTTGACTGCATAAGTACCAGAAAATATATAAGCAGAGGGCTCAAACTTGGGAATTTTCTACAACAAACAAATATTGCCTTGTGAATAACGGTGCCAGAAGCGGCTAGTATTAGCAGCTTGTTTCTAGTTCTTATCTCTTTTAACTTGTTTGGTTTGAAGGATATGAAGGCAAGGGAAGGGGAGGGGAAGGGAAGGATGAGTTTTTTAACAACCCAAATTATATTGTTTTCAAATATCGCAATTGGATTGGTTAAAAAATTCATGCCTCCCCTCCGTTTCCCTCAAATGTTCTTTTGTTCAGTGGAGTAGCAAATCTGCCATTTTCTTCTTTTCTCCTTCCTTTTCAGTTTTCATCAGATGATTCAAATCACAGGCTGGATTATCGTATGTTTGAAAGCTTTCATTTCTCCTCTTTCTGCCAGGTTATTTGACAGCAACAACCTCAGTGGTCCTATCCCTTCAACCCTTGGGCTTGTGAAATCTTTGCAAGTGATGTGAGTATCTAGAACACATGCTTAAGCAGATTTGCAATGAGATTATTGTTGGAATTGGATTTCTTTGTGGGTGTGATTGAAGAAGTAATTATTTTGGTTGCAGACGTTTTGATAACAATTCCTTAAGTGGGAGTGTTCCATCAAACCTCAACAATCTCACAAGTCTTCAAGAATTGTAAGCATGCAAAAGATGGAAGATGAGCGGTCTTTGCATTTATTAGTTTATCTTCTCTAATAGAAAATGTTTTGTGAACTTCTTTTCAGGTATTTGTCTAACAATAACCTGAATGGCCCTTTACCCAACCTTACTGGCATGAGTGATCTCAACAACTTGTAAGCCGTGCATGCTTTTACATAACTAAACTACCCTTTTTCTTCTTTGTCTTTTTCTCCACCTCCTATGTGTCTGCAATGCATGCACTTTATGTCTTTAGTTGAAATTGTTATTCACCAGGCCTCCTTCAATAACCATATACGGTTGTCATTAATTTTTATTCTAATAATATAATTGTGTTCTGCAGGGACTTGAGTAATAATAGCTTCAATACCTCTGTGATTCCTAGATGGGTTTTATCTTTGTCATCCTTAACAACACTGTATGTCCATCTCTCTTTTAACATTGTATGAACTATTTTAAATGCAGAACCCAATTACTCTCTTTTAATCTTTTACCATCACACTTCATTGAGGGCCATATGTTTTGTTAAACTATTAGCAAGAATATCTTTCCATCCCCAATGATATTGTTAGCAGCAATCTGATGTTTAAAACTTAATCAGGCTCATAAATGTTACAATAAATCCATCCCTGAATGTGTTTCTCTCCCTCCTACTTTCCTTCCCTCTCTTCCTCACCTTCTCACTTTGTTTTCTGCATGTTCATGGACACATGCCCATATGCTTGTATACATACACATTCACGGGTTTCCCTTCAAGTTAAGAGAACAATTGATTTTTTTGCAAGGCAGAAGGATGGAAAATGCTCAACTTCAAGGTGACGTTCCGGTGGACCTATTCAGCCTTTCATATTTGCAGACTGTGTGAGTATCACCTTCACTTCGTGCATGATGCACTAAAATCACCCTAACAAGTGTACTAGTCACTCCAAGTAATATAATGATGAGAAGAGTGTCGAACCCACGAGAATTGTGTCTAATTAAATGCCAAAATAATTAATCCAAATTTATTTAAACAACCAAATGGGAAGAAAGTTTAACTAAAAAAATAATAAAAGAAAAATAACAATTAAATTAAACCTAACCAAGATATGAGATACTAAGGTATTGACTTCACCATAATCAATCAATATAAATTTTGAATTACCAAATTGTTGAGTGTTATTGCATGTGATGGCGGATTTCTCTAAATTAATTAACTAGCTTTCTCAAGTCAAGTTAATCCTTTACTAGTTTGTTATGGAAACCTCTAGCCTAAGAAGGGGGAGCTACTAACTCTCTTCTCTTCCTCCATTACCACATATGAGTTAATTACTTCTCGATCTCATAGTCTAGCACATGGTTTATATTATTATTGGTCTAATCTACGCAATTCTTTTTTAAGTTTATGCATAAATCACTAAATCAATTGAAAGGTGATCAGACTTCCAATGCATTAAGTTCGATAATATAAACTCCTCATGCAAATAACTTTAATTGAAAGTATAAAATTACTAAATCCATATTGAATTGATTAGGTTACATCGTAGTCCTAGTAGAATAAATCAGTTTATAATAAAAATAATAAAATCTACAATCATAGTTATGAACAAAGAAGAATAAAACCCAATTTAAGAAAATTGCAATCCTTGATCTCCTATTGTTGAATCTTCTATCTTGACCTCTAAGAATACCCAAAAGAGGGCTGTCACAAGCCTCCCAAAACTCCCTTAATTCTAAATTTGGATGGGTATTTATAGGATTTTAGAAATCCTAATTAAAATAAAAGTAGGACGTGGAACAAAAATAAAAAATTGAATTTTGGATGTTGATCGCGTGATGCTGACACTTCGGATTACGTGTTGACACAAAATAGGAAACATAATCTGGGCGTTTAACGCATGGTGTCGACACCCCAATCATGTGTCGACACTACACTCGTGTCGGGTTTCTGATCTCCTTTTGCAATTTCTTCAATGGTAAAATAGCAGATTTGGTTCCTGACTTCTGGATTCTGCACAAGTTGATCCTCAAGTCTCTGATTTCTTCAATTTACTTCTAAAAAGTAAGATTTCTTTCAATTAAATCCTTTCCTACACAAAGGATGAAAACCATGTAAAATCAAATAAAATTCCATAAAACTCATCCAAATATCAATAATATCAAAGTAAAAATTCCCTATTAATATGTATATAAATTTAGCTTATCAAATTCTCCCAAACTTGAGTTTTACTTGTCCTCGAGTAAAATAAAAAGACAAAAGAAACAAAAATAAAATCTAACTCATTTTCATAGGAATCACGATTTCACTTAACGTGTGCAACAAGCCTTTAAACCCCTAGGTCACCCTAGTGGACAAGTTATGTCTCGTAAGGGTTTGCAGTGGATCTACCCACAAAATCCCAATGCAAGAATGTAACTACATGATATGCATGCAAAGAAAATTTAGGAATTAAAGTTCAATTAGAGGCAAAGTCTCAAATATTCAAAAATTTTCATATGCTCACTTAAAGTAAAATACTCCATCTTATTCTTCACACCACTTGTTAAAAGATTTAGCCCATGAGCACTTAGTGTGTGTGTGGAAATTCATAGTAAGAAGTTTCGAGTTTAGACCTTCACACCTTAGCACTTATTACTATCTTCTTTTTTTTTTTTTCTCCCCTCAATAATTTTTTTTTCATAGGTCGAGTTTCCTTAGACTTTCTAAGTTACCCATGTAACGAGCTTTTTGTCAATGACTCCCAAACCAGTTGGTTTTA